ATCCGGTCCCCTATACTCTCTGAAAGGAAAGCACTTCAATGCACCTTTAGGGGTCCAAAGACGTGTCTCTTGGGTGGTGCATTCAAAGCTCCTGCTGTTGTTCCCTTGTAGTATGTCCATTTACTACTTGGAAGCATAAGCGTATCTTTCAGGGCCTCTAAAAGTACAAATATGTGTCTTGGGGTCCAGTTACTGGTCACATTAGTTGATAAAGTGCACACTGTGCCAGTTTTTGACGGTCAATGTGTGTTTGTGTGTGTGTGCCTGTGTTTCAGGCTGCTGAGAGGGAGAAGAAACACCACCTGCTGGGCGGGGAGACCGACCACAGCCATAACGACACGCACACACAGAGCCACGACCACGACAGCGCCCACGCCGCCGACAAGTCCCACACGCACGACCACGTGCACGACCACACCAAGGGCCACGCTCACCACGACGACCACCACAACCACGCCGACGACAGCGACCACCACCACACCCACGACCACGCGGCGGGGAGCGCGCACAGGCACGCTCACGACCACTCCCACGACCACGGCCACGGCCACGACCACGTGCACGCCCACCACGCCAAGGCGCACGACCACAGCGGCGACTCCCCCAACCACCACCACGATTACAAGCACCCCGACGGCGTGCACACTCACCAGCACGATCACGAGCTCGCCCTGGACCACGACCACAAACACGCCCACCTCCACGAGCACGAGCACCACCACCACCACCACGAGCACGAGCACGAGGTTGGAACCCACGACCACCCGGAGGGCGTCGTGAGGATGATCCCCGCCATGGGAGGTCCCATGACCCTGCCCTCCTTCCCAGATGAGCCCGCTGCCGGACCTGTTGGAGTCCCTCTGCCCCTCAGGCCTGACCCTCAGATTCCAGGAGAGACCGAACCCACCATCCTTCCCTTCCCAGCAACGCTCTCACCCCAGTGTCCCGCCCCAACTGAAGCAAAAGACCTGGTGGAGAAACTCTTTATGGAAGACCCCATGTTCAAGCCCTCTGCTTAAATTAATCTGGAACTGGAAACTGTTACTGGGACATAAACCCGGACCGAAGAGGACAGAATGCAAAAAAATAATTGAATCTCGTTCATTAACCACTCTGATTGTAATACAGCTTTCACTGCTACTCCAGGTCATTCGTAAACACATAAACTGTAACATTTCTTGTCTTGCAATAATTGAATGAAGACAGAGTACAAAAGAATGTATATTTTCTAACCATTCAATCTGTTTGTGCCATCATGTTAATAGATAATAAAACATTGTGACACATTTCACAGCTGTATTAATTACTTACAAACCACCTCTATGGTTATTTAAATTAACACAATGTCCCCTTTAGGAAGGAGGCAACGACTTTTTTAATGTTTCATCCTTAAACTGAGCATTCAGCATCCCTGTAACACTGTAGAGTCGATTTCTGCCACGGATTGCTGCTATTGCTGCTATTTCCAATTAAAGGAAACATATGTCAGCCTGGAAAGATAAGTGAAGAAAAAAGCTAAGCAGATTTTATTTTTAATGAACCCTGAAAGACTTTTTTTTAGGGTTTAACAACAAATTAATTATGTCTCCATCCATGAGTTCTGAAAGGCAAACAAGCAAGTAACAAATTCAAATCAACCTGTTATTCTTATAAGAAGAAAACTGAAAAGTAAACAGCATGAACCAATTAGAGAAAAATTCTGCCCATGTTTTTCTAATTATTCAATTTTATTCTAATTCCACTTTATCTGCCCAGAAATGAGAAAACACAATGAAAAGAAGCTTTCTGATAGCTGATCTACAAATATAGATATTATGAGAGCAGCGTCTCCCTTTCTATCAATTTGTGAAATACACGGGGTTACACGATGTACTTCAGCTACTCAACCGCTATTTGTTTTTAAAAAGGCAGAAACCTAAACCTAAACTTTATGAACTGAGTCATGCTGCTGAGCCTGATCACTTCTTTTTTATTTGTCTTCCATCTGTGAAAACTCCTAAATCAGGAAGGCCTTAATGATGAATCATAAATGTTTTGGTGTGAAAGCAGATTAATCTTTAAACTTCCTCCTAAAATAAAATCAAGGCTTCAGTCTTTCCAAGCTGCCATTGGGCAAGATTCAGGATACACCCTCACCAATCATGAGGCCTTGATGGGTTTGTGTCAGTGTTTGGCCATGAATTATCAATGCTGCTACACCCACAGACCGTTAAGAGGTTCTCATTAGCAACTATTGTGCTATATATTCTCACCTGTGTCTCACGGATAAGGCAAACTCCATTATCACAGTAAATTTCACATTTTCAGCATAGAATAAATACATAGATTGAGAGATGAGATGTTAAACTGGAAAAACATATCTTTAAGAGAAGAGGTGGTCTCACAGGTCAAAAGTAATTCACTTGTTGGATATTGAGACCGGAATGTGTTGGTCAAGTAACAATGTATGAGATATTCCTCAAAAGAGTTCACTGCTGAAGTGTCTTTAAGAGAGTTAAAGATGTGACCAAACATTCCTCTGAGAGCGAATAGTCAACTGTCCCTAAATCACACCTATATATAAGTGGTAAAACATCATAATCCAGGTTCCATTGTAAATTCAAAGGAATATTCATTAAATTCAAATAGTTTTCTTGGTTTAGAAGTTGTCAGTCTATGCTGTTGGGGTTTACATTTTTTTTCAAGTCAGAGCACCCAAAGCACAAACATGTTTTCAGCAGCAGTAGAATATAATCTGGAGTTCTAATTCATCAAATGCAAAAATTCAAACCACCTAATGATGAAACAGAA